GCTTATTGATATCAGTTCTTAGAAATATCATCAACTAGTTTATCGTTACACTTTATACACCAGAAAACAATCCCCTCAAAATCAGGATGAAAGCCGTTCAAATCTTTGGAGACATGTCTTCTCCAAAACTCACCACCAATTTCTCTATGGAGAAACCCGAGCCTGTCAAGTCTGATATTCTGGTTCGCGTCCACGCCGCCGGAGTCACTGGCGATGAAGTCATGTGGGGGGAGACATATCGACGCCCAACCCGCATTCCCGGCCACGACATTTCCGGAGTCATCACCGCTTTTGGCCCTAACTATTCTGGTCCCCTACAAGTCGGCCAAGAAGTCTTTGCGTTTCTATCAGCGCATACTGGTGCAGGGCAGGCTGACTATGTTGTCTGCACTCCCGATGAAGTCGCCTTGAAGCCAGCGTCGCTTTCACACGCTGAAGCTGCTGCCCTGCCGATTCCGGTATTGACAGCGTGGGAGGTCTTGGACTATACCGAGATCCACGCTGGAACGAGAGTGCTTGTGACGGGTGCGTCGGGCGCAGTTGGTCAGCAGTTTGTGCAGCTTGTCAAGCACTTGACGGGTGCTCATGTAATTGCGCTGGCATCCGCGACAAACAAGCAGCTTCTGGACGATATACCTGACGAAATCGTTGACTACAAAACCCCAAATTGGGAGAGGTCTGTGAAGGACGTTGATGTTGTCTTTGATACTGTGGGCGGAGAGGTTCTGGCCAGGACGTGGGAAACGGTCAAATCTGATGGCATGATCATCACGATTGGCGACCCTGCACCCCAGTGGGCTTTTGGCGGTGATGAACCCTCCGAGTCCTTGTCCTTACCCGGCGTAAAGTACAAGTACTTCATCGTATCGCCGAATATCGATCGCTTGGGGAAAATGGCGAAGCTGTTCGACGAGGGAGTTTTGAAGCCACTAGCTGTGAAGAAGTTCCGGTTTGAGCAGGCGGTTGAGGCTTGGGAGGATGCTCAGCAGCGTGGAAAGGGCTATAAGGTCGTGGTCGAGTTTTAAGGTGTATCTGGAAATTTAATGATGAAGAGACGTCCAGTAGTAGAGATTACATAGATTATTTAGTGTTTAACTTGTACCTCCTTCAATCCAGCTGGAATCCAGCTCCACACCCATATTGATCCATCCGCAAATATCCTCAAACGACCCCAGAGACGCAAAGACATTATCGTCTTGGTCCATTGTAGGCAAAGACTCCATGCTCCCTTCTCCCTCGCTCTGCGTCAAACTCGGAACCTGGGTTGACCCTGGAGTACTCCCGACTTCCGCACTACCCCCTCCGAGTCCCAAGACATGACGAGCGATAGTCTGTATCTCTTTGACGTTCCTCGCAGTCCTTGGCCAAACTTCGCCTATGGCTTTGAGACATCCGATAGTCAACCGGATCTGATCTCGCGCTACTGCCAAAGCTTGATCTTTGAGCATGTATGTACAAGCTGAGAGAAGGGCAAGTGTTCCTTCGCTGACCATACATGTTGTGAAAGGCGTGTGATGAAACGGGCGGACAGGCAAAGCTAGGAGTTGAATCTGTGCATTGACTGACTTGAGAATCCTTGTCGTGTGTACGTTGATGAGATTTGGTTTCGGTGTATCTGCCGGTGGCTCTCGAGCACAGCTTGATACTTTTTCAACGGGGTTAAATCTCAGATCCGATAATGGCCTGTGTATACCAATGGTGGCACTAGACACTTAGCTCGACTCTCAACATGGTGAAGGAAGGACATACACATGAATGAGTAAGTGAGCTTGAAACATCAGCTCATCAATGGTTCCATCTGCCTTTAGCACTGGCTTCTTATCCTTGGGAAGCAGCAGCAGCCAGGCATCGAATGCCGAGTCAGCCGATTGTATGATGGCTTCTGAATCTTCTTTCGTTGCGCATTTGGGTGACATGTATATGACTTGTGCTGCGCAGCGGACGGCACCGATAAGATAGGCAAAGGATGAGAATACCACGTCTTCGCTATCGAACTCGCGAGAATCGAAGTCCTGCAAGGTTTTTGGCGCAGGAATCGTCTATTGACCTCGTGTGAGTCTTTTGCTTCAAGACATTGTAGAGTACTTACACCTGATTCATAATCTGATTCTTCACAAGGAAGCTCCGCTGTAGGCTCGACGTCTAATGTTTTGAAGTTCATTGTCCCCAGTGTTCCAGCGTAAGAAGCATCCGCGATGAATAGCATCCACCACGTTCGTCTCCAGCATTCGACCATGATCGAGTCTCCGAAGCCCCATGTAGTAGCGAACTCCTTTTTATGCATCTCTAACTTGACTGCAACATCGATTGCAGCATCCATCTGCTCTTTTGCCTCAGCCCTGAAGGTGTACCAGAATAAAGCGATTGAGTAAAGTAGACGAGCCTGAACTTGAACAGCATCTGATGGTTTGGACTGTGACAGTTGAGCCTCGGCGGCGCTGCTAAGGGATTCTGACCATTGGTGGGTGTCGTAGATATGGCCGATCAGTCGCATGGAAGCTATGAGGGGACTGAAGTTGAAAGCCGATGCTTGAGACAGTTGGACTAAGTGTTTGTACGGGGGAGCGAAAGGATGCAAGTGGTGAAAGTTAGCATAGTACGACTTGACCAAAGAATCGTCGGCGAGACCGCCATGGCTGAAGTTTGGTGTTTCGCGGTTCTCTAGTACTGGTGTTGGAACGGGTAAGCTCGTCTGTTGGAAACCCTCCAAGCAATCCGCCCCAGTCACAGATTCATCACCCAAAGTGATCCCCTCATTAGAAACTGCCACAGAAATCTCCGACACAATATGATCTAGTTGCGCATCAGCATTCTTAGCCAGACGTCTCCGCCTTTCAGTCAAAGCCGCTCGATCGAGGCCACCGCGTCTTGAAGCTGTATACTGGCACGCCTTGTCGTATGCCGTGCACCGACTGCATCGCGGCTGTTTGGCATCGCATTTCACGTGCTTTGTCCGACACTCGAGACATGCTAGCGAAGATCGTGTGTTTACACGTGTTGAGACTAGTCGCTCCATGGTGAATGGGTGATTTACGTGGAAGAAAATTACGGCTGATGCTTGTCAAATGGGAGTGGTACTGAAGTGGGGTCACGGGTACCCGGGCTTCCGGAAATAGAGTGGGTATACGAGACGTCAGCAAGTTGAGGCTTCTCTTTGTGAATACTTGCTTTGTTCACGGTAAAGACTGTGTTTTTATTGAAAACAAGATTCCATGTTACTGAAACAAAAGACTATTCATATCTTCCCAGCCGGTGCGCTGCTTCTTATGGATATGCTTGCTCCAAGTTGTCGAAAATTCGCCGCCCAAACTGATCCATCAATTTGAGACGATGAATCTTGTCCCCGCCAAATCCTGCGTTATTAGGCTCATGCAGATGCCAATCAAGGACCTTGTACCATCGTTCCTCTATGCCATAAAAGTCCGGCTGTAGGTAGTTGAAGATCCGACAAGGTAGAGTGGTGATCTTCTCTGACTCAGCTTCGTCCTCGTTAAACACCTTGACGCCGCTGTATCCAGTGTCTCCGCGAGCGATGAAATCGGCACTGGTAACGGTACACTGGATGTCGATGTCCCATTTCCCTCTAGTTTGCGATATGTTCTTCTCTACCAACCGCCAGTGTCGGCAGCGCTGTTTGATCGGACAGGTCGCGGCTTTCGGCACTTCCTAAGGTCCTGGATCGCTAGTATCTCGTATTGGTATTCTTTTTGGCAGGCGTATTAGCAGTGTGTGACCGATGCAACTCAACGTGCCGAGAGGGCAAGGACTCCATTCATCGCTAGTCAAGAGGTGGCGATAATTCGGAAGAAACTAAATATTAGGGATCAGCAGAAGACACGAATAACGATATGTCTTTACACACCTTGGCAAGTAGGAAGATATTATTGTAAGTTTGCTAACGCCTATTATTGTAAGTCGATATTAGTTGCTTGCAGATTGGTAGATAAAGCACAGATTATCCTTAGAATAGATTATTGTTTATAAGGTAATTCTAATCTGCATATCCGGGATTGGCATGGATCCTGTTCTTCTCCACTGTCTAACCTTTGCCCTAACTATGGTTATCGGGATTTGGTGGACGAAAAGGAATGTATTCTGCTATCGATATGTATTATTTATAATAGTGTTTCTTCTAGAGACTTCACGTCATGGAATGCACATTTGACCTTATACTTAGTGCAATTTTTACTGGGGGCGGACTAGATAAGCTGATGAAGAGAGTATGGATGGAAAAGCACCTACTACTGGGGATAATTCTTGTCGCAACGGATGTGGCGGCGTTTGCTGGATCCGAAAAAAAAGGCTCGTTAGCGTGAGAATTAACTAATATCGATGTTTCCTAGTCCAATGCACCATGTCAAACAGCCCGTGCGAGATTTTGTATGGCTTCATTTGGTCATTCAGTCACGGATCGGAGTTAAGCGAAATTAGCTGTATCGTGACATGGCGGCTTACTCAGACAGCTACTTAGAGGCTCCGCCAAGCTTGCTTGGTGTTCATTTCTGAACAACAGCTAGCCATAAATTTCTCTCCACAGTCTTTTCAGATCTCCACCTTAGGCACTCAGGTACCTAACCGCTGTCACTATCGCGAGTGGTCCAAAAGTTATCGCTTCTGTGCTCAATCCCAGTTCCAGCTCTAGTAAGGCAACGCCTGCACAAGCGAGGTCGCCAAGGTCATCCCGCACCCTCAGCCGGAGCTACGACCGCTGCAGGACACGAAAGATCAAGGTGGATTTTCTTCTTACTTTTTTCTTTCCCTTTTCTACAATAGCATCCATTTCGTTTCCGTTCTCCATCAATCACATCCCAACCCGTTTGTGCTTGTCAGTGCGACGGTCGACGTCAAATGCTGTAGCCTATACAAAGTCTCGTGCCCTGGCTATGATCGCCCGCTAGCGTTCCGGTTCCATAGAGAGCCTTGCCACAGTCTTATCCGCAGCAAGCCCGGTGCTAGACGTAAATCTATGCAAACCCTGGTACTGAACAAGGGGCCGAACCATGACCTTTCTGCGTCGAGGCGCGACGGCCCAGAGGTCACTCGATAACCCTAGCCGTCAGTCGAGGACGAGCCCCTCGCTTGCTTTCTGTACAAATACGCCGTGTACCCAGCGCCAGGTGTCATTGGCTGCATTTGGACTTCCTCATTCGACGGCCTCGAGCGGTACACAGAACGCGGAGATCCATCTCTGGAGCGACCACAAGGTCTGCGACCCTACCGGAAGACGGAGGCCGCCTGGCAAAGCAAAGGAGAAGACACCATCGAGGAATATCACCGAGATGATGAAGTTAAATACCCGTGACGCGCGAGAGGTGACACCTGATTATCATTGTTTAGGCATTGGCGAAGTGGGACAGCGCGGATCAATACTGATCCGCGAGGCTTCGGTTGTTCGCCAGACCCCGCTAGGATAACCAGATGAACCAGGCCCTACTCGCCAAGGAATCTAGGGTGTTTCCGGAGCATGTTGGCTAATGAGCACGAGCCTTCGCGGGCGCTTTTCGAACGGACGTCTCTAAAAGCATCCAAGTAGTTTGTGAGCGGCATGCTCAAGCGGACACAAGGCTTTACGTCAACATCAAGACCTTACCAAAGACACAACAATTTGTTGACACAGTACGTGGAGGCGACCACGCTACGGCGATAACTGCAGCCAAGAATGTCAACGATGTCATCATCGCGACCACTGCATACGACAGAAGAGGGCTCGTAGGCATAGACAACATTGTATCGTGAAAATCGCCAGGGCAGAATGACAAGGTAGTGCCCAAGTACTCGGTCACTCTAGCCATGAGACGACCAAGCCTCATGTATAGCCGAACTGCAGGCAACAGTGATCGTATTGCGTCGCATTCCCGACGGTCTAGAACGCCGGGAGCTTACGGCCTTGTCAAGGATCCAGTCGGCACTCCAAGGAATCGTGCGGTCTCGAGAGCAGCCTGGACAAGTCACCATCCGGCAGATCTACGAGCATGTCAAGCGATCGATAAAGGATAGCAACAGGGTCAAGAAGATTGAACGCCATTCCGAGACAAAAATATCACCATTGGCCGCGAAACAAAGAGACAAGCGCATCAATCGAGTCCTATAAGGCAAGTATGCCAAAGCTTTGTATGGTAGTCTAAAGAGATGAGAAGCCGACGTGCTTGCCAGCTTCCGACAGCCTCAAGTTGGCAGACTATGCTTCAGCACCTGGAGAACATTTGGAGAAGTTGGCCCTTCGAGCAGGCCTGTCACGGGGGGAAACTAGGCTGAGAAAAGGTGGCAAGATGTGAGCAGCAAAGAGAGTTGTGGCCTAAGAAGATGGAAGCAAGGAAAACGAATGTAGTTAATGGAATACATTTCATGTCTAAGGTCTGTTGATAACTCAAGATACTGTAGTCAATGATATCGAAGGGGATAAGCAAAGCTATTTGAATCCTATCAATCCCTTCCAGGCGGCATTACCTCCTAGAGAATTGAGGCAGGAAGTGTTTTAATACTTCAGAATGATGTACAGAGCGTGGATAATACCAGGGATGTAACCTAAAGATAACCAGTCAGTTCGACCTAAAGTGAGACCCTAGCGCGATAAGGCGATAATATGGATTCAAAGGAATCTGGCCAGGGATTGCAAAGAAACTCACAAAGAATGGTAAGCAGGATGTTGATAAAAAAGTCGGCACGACAACCACGCTCGAGGAAGACACCTATGGGAGGCAAAAAGATGGCAAGGAAGATCTTGCAGATGTCGCTATTCGAAGTGAGCACTTATTTTCCAGAAAGAAACCTAAACAATCCAGGATCAAGCATCATAGTGACTGGGATATTGGCAATGGGTAAGAAAGACCAAGCATACCTAGCGGTGAACGGCATCTTGTGGTTATGAGACTACCACTTGTATCAGTATAACAAACAAAGATGCTAGACATAATCCGCATGTAAAACGGACCATGCTTTATAGAAGCGAACCACCTCATACCCTTCCATCCGCCGACGTCACACATGTTAATCCTTATTATTGTCTTCATTGTAACAATTGCTACTTGCTTACCCATCTTATTCTAGCTTTCCCAGTTTTTCTGACTCGCTACGCAATCAGTAATCGGGGAGCATGCGTAGGCCCTTGCCAGTACAGTATGGACGGCCTGGCCTCGCTTTTCAGCGCTGCGCGATCAGGGCAAAAGAACTGGGATGTTTACCAAACCCGACATCAGCAAGTCGTTGAGTTGATGCATGCTGGTACCGGTGTGCTAGGAAGTGGGCGCCTAGTTTGCGAGGGCTGTCCGAGCGGCTCGTATGTCAACCTTATCACAGAAGGTTCGAGCTTTAAATGGCGTAGTGGCGCTTGGAAAACGGAAGCAAACCAACTGCTAAACCTTGTTTTTTCCCTGTTTTCTTCCACTTTGCCTTTCACCAATGATAGCTCCCAAATTTCGAAAAACTCGTACCGAGCTAACCTGGAGCTGGAAAAAGAAAGAAAAGGAAAAAAGGCAAGGAAAGTTTTGTGCCAGTAGACGCCCGCAGCACTCCGGCTGGCCTCTCTCTTTTTCAGCAGCCACGACACGCGCCAGTGAACAGTGAGGGGAAGCCAAGACAAGTATGACCGCGCTAGTCGGTTATTTTACGTGTCACGAGCCATGTTCTCTGCAGTCAAAGAGAGCGCCGCTGCAATTCAACTTTTGCCAGCTTCCAAGAACAGGATGAGGCTTGGAGCGGTCACTGTTTGATACGACAAGGTCAGGGTTTCAGATGGGATGCTGCTCAGTTCAAATTCGCTACATGAACCTTGGTAATTTAGTCAGCAGGTAGCAGTACAGGACATCGCGACAATTGCTGTAAACGACCTGGAATACCTTACTATCGTCTATCGAGGCGCCATTCACTTCCTTCAAGACATCGAAAACCTTTGCGTAAAATGTGCTATGGGAGCAACGTCAGATTAGCATTTACGTTAATTAGTTATAATAAGTCTCAGTCAGCAGCCTTGGCTCGCCTGGTTTTTCAAGTGCCAACGACCGAGACCTTGAGTTTAGATGAAATAAGGTTTCAGACTTTCAATTTTAGTGCCGCTTTTGAATGGCGAGTTAGCATGTGCCTTGTTTGGAAGGGTGTGGAAGCGATGATCGAGAGCTCCCTGGATTTAGAATATGACATCACTGCCTCAGAGACGTGAGGGTCGGCATGGTTCCTATAGAGCATGTTGAGTATGAGGCAAAAGGTTCCGTTTCGTTCAATATGTTAAATACCGGTAAGTACTTCGGCCGTCTGAAAGAACTCGAAGCTCCTTCATCTTTGCCACTCAGTAACAGCTTCAATACTCAACAATCGCCTGGCTGTCAACCAACCACTGCCAAGAATGTCTACCAGAGAAAATTCGGACCCCGGAAAGGGTTCTTCTTGTTGTTGGCATGCCTGTCACCAAGAGTTCAATAGCCCCGGTGGACTTTATGTGAGTTATCATTCACCGAAACCCCAAAGCCCTTGCGGATGACATAGCGTTCGACATTTATCTGATGTGTAGTCTCTAAGGAGCATTTGTGCGAAGACCATATCGGCCGTAAGAGCCACAACAGTCTAAATCTAACGTGTCGATGGAATAATTGCGGAAGGGTCGCGATGAAGCGAGATCACATCACTTCACATGTACTCGTTCACGTATCCTTCAGGCCCCACATATGTGTGTCCTGTGGGAAATCATTCAAGCGTTGTCAGGACTTGAAAAAACATGAGGTTGTAAGTGCCCCTAGAATGGTATGATTCAATCTTTCGTCGCCATAAGCTCATGAAAGTAAGATCCACTCCAAATCTTCTATTAACTCGCATGAGAAGGGGACTGAACATACTATCAACGATCTCACACTGAAAAGTATGTTTGGTAATGGTGCTAGCTTTTATGATAAGTTCTTTCCCAGATGTATCGTTCCTACAAATGCCGTTTACTGACTTGCTTAGCACCACATACACATGCTTATCTACCCTTTAGTAACAGGGGAGCCTTATCTTTTAAAATGGCTCCGACGCAATACAGGAACCTCTCGGACGGCAGCTTTTACATTCCAAACTCAGAAAGATTGGATCTACTTTACGGCCGTTTCGATCCCCAGGCTGTTCCTTTTACTAGTCCGAGCTACGTCAGCCCAGAACTGCTTTACCCGAACAAAGTTTTGACTCCTGTACTGCATGATACCCTTTTATGTTCGTTTGCCACTTCTAGTTTTGACAGGCAGGGATATAGTGGGTCAACTATCGCACGCGACACCGGAGGGCTCCACGCGACGAGTCGATCTCTACGAAGCCTTGGAACAAAAGAAGCAAGAGTTTGAGAGCCTTGGCTTAGCCCACAATCATTTCTATGTATCCAAGGCCGTTGACCTAGATGACGAGCTTAGCCCAAGACCAAAATTGCAAGGCGACCCCGTCGTGGAGGTTCAAATCAGCACCTATCCCGGTAGCAGATTGCCTCACGCGTGGATTGACAAGCCAAACCGTCTGGACATGCTCTCGACTCTAGACTTGGCGGGGAAAGGGTCCTTTTGTTTGTTGGTGGGCGTAGATGGTAGCGCTTGGAGAAGCGCAGCTGATGCCGTCAAGACAGCTACGGGGATGGTATGAGAAGAGAGGTGTTAGTGACAGTGGGTGTATTCTCGTTCGGCCAGATCGTTTCGTTGCGTGGAGATCGGTTGACAAGCCTGAGGACTGTGAGCAGAAATTGGGGGACGTTCTGAGGAGTATTTTATGCAGAGACGAGTTGTAGCTTAGCTTACCAAGGTTGCATCCCACAGAACCTTTCAAAAGGTCGTCGGAATGGAGTACAAGATAACGATGATACTTCTTCGTGGACAAATACCGTGATTACTCTATATTACGATGTTCCCCTAGATCACAGTCGAATTGTCAACTCTGAACCCATCCCCAACTATGGCTGTCTCACCTCTGGTATACCCCATAACGGCATTTCCTTCTCAGAACTCCGACACATCGCGCTTCGGTGTTAGCCCGGACTTTCAGTTGTCCGCCAAAGTGGGGCCTTTGGACCAATGATCGCTCCCCTCTTTGTCAAGCAGTTGAGGACCTTCCATCCTCGACAGCAGATATCCCAGCCAGATCGGTTTCAAAGTCGGATCGGAACTGTTTACACCGGTGTGTAGTGTACTTTAGGCAGTATTCACATCTATATAAGCCCGAGGTGTTGCAGTTCATGTGTCTACACCAAACACCAAGAACTCCAGTCTCTAAGCATGAACTCTCAACTCGAACGTGGTTACCTGAACTTAGACGCAACTAGTCATGTTGTACTGCTTCTATGTGTTCTATACTTTCTCTATTATGTGAATGGAATCTTACCTCCTGGCCCTATGGCTCTAACAATCTGTAGGCAACTGTTACCATTTTCTTCAACCCGCTTTCCCGTCTACCAGGTGAGCTATCCGTG